CACAAATCAGATGAGCGCAGATTGAGTCTAGCTAGGTGTGAAGGAAATTTAACATGTCCAATTTTTGTTCGGATGATGATGGATGAATATTTCCTAGGAATTTTATGATTATTTCTGATTCATCATGCAGGTGTTCGTCAAAAAAAAGGCCCATTTTTATTTCAAATATGCATCATCAAATGACACTTTCGAATGTACGATAGTTATTTTTTTATTAGATTATGTCGACATACTTTCCATAATATAGGAATCTAGTTCAATGCGTTCCTCGGTTGAAAAGGTATTTTTGCACAAATGCTTTTTCGATATCTATGTTGTGAATCAATATTTACACACCTTCTCCTAGCAGCAGTTGCATAAACATTGCAACAAATTCGACGGAAGCGGACTTTTTCTCGATATATTTTCCAGTGGCGTGGAATAAGAATCTATCGATTACGATACTGTTAACACTATGCAAAAATTAATATTCACTTGTTACCTCCCAGGTGTTATCCAGGGTGTCCTTAAAGTTCAGACATCGTCAACTAATGTTACATCTGAAACTTATCCTATAATATTCATGTTGATAGATCCAATTGTCTGACCGCTAAATCAAACCACATATGCTTGAATTACTTTGTTAATGACATTTCGGTCGCCGCGGTGGCTTTTTTCAAGTACAAATAACAATTGTGATGACAATGGAGCGCGCTGTTCGTACAGCAGTCGAGAAACTTTCAGTGACCATGTCCAAAATCCCGCCACATAAATCGCATTCATTCTACCACGCTGTATAGACGGAGTTCACACGGCCGGATCCCAGACACAGTCACCGACCTCTGTACGAACAAACCTTAGATGTGGCCCCATTCGCCGGCAAAACAAACGGGAGGATCACCTGCATAGAAACCAAATGATAACTTTCAGGTGTTAGATTTACATAATGTATAACTTCTCATCATCAATCATTTAACACAAAAGTGCATCGACAGATTTTTAGAGGAGTCTGGAGAAAATTCAAAATCTTTGCTAATTCTTGTCCCGCAACAAGTAGCGGTGTGGTTTCATTCAATAAATTTCTGACACATGTGCCGACATACGAGGCGCAACACGTTGCAGTGCTTTATTGTAATGGAAACATACCTTAACGAATCGACCAATAAGAGAATGTGTATACAATTTTACGCACTGGGACGCGTTGCTACATATTTCGAAAAAGATTCACGATTTCACGGTTTACGTTACTAAATATAGACGGTGAATTTTATTACCGGGTCTCACCGACTTCGCTTCGTTTGTGTGCCTTTTGTTCAGTGTACTAAACTGACTAAAAATATGCGATTATCTCGTTTCAATGACGTACTCATGAAAACTAGTGGGAGTTATGAGTTTGAACGTTTAACTAGTCTCTCAGTGGGTTGCTCCCCCCTACATTATGCTTTACTGTGCCCTAATATGAACATTTCCTTACAACTATACGCCTATAGCTCTGCTTTCTGTTGAGGTAAGGTGATGGAGAGGTGTAGAAATCGCAAGATACCCGTTGTAATTGACGGACTCTCCTCTTCATCTCACAGTGTCAACGCGGGTGTTCCCATCGATCTCCTTTCCTGTATGGTCAATCCAAGGCCTTTCCCAGTTCTTCTGTTCTTAAGCAGTTCAGAAATGGTATCTACAAAGTGTCTTTAAGCTGCTTATAGCAGCTGCGGTATTTAGGCTTGCGCGGCTGTATAGGTTAAAAAATAATAATAAACATGATGCATTTGATTAGTTATGTTCACAGAATTAAACTTCCAAAGATCCATTGCCTGTGGTTTCGTTCCTATTGTTAAAACGGCTAATATCACTACCTTGAAGGCTTGTCAAATTCTGACAGCAGTCATGATACTTTGGTAATTAGGCTTCATCTTTGTAAAATTACAAACGTTCCAGTACTTTAATGGTTTTTGAAATCTGTTCATTTTTCCAAAAATTACTTCTGGCTATCATTATCCAAATTGAACCAAGTAAATTCAAAATCTATGTTTTCACTAAAAAATACGCAGAAACATGAGATGAGTAACATCTTACAAATACGTTTTTCTTTCAAGTTAAAGTTGATGAAACAAATCTATTACAACGATTATTATTTCCTCACTTTATGCCTTACCTGTGAGAACGTTAAAATCATCTCAATTTGTTAATGACTCGTAAACAACTACGAAATAGCTGCGACTTTCCTCATCTTCATTAGTATTTTGAAATTTGACATTTGGGTCGCATTTTGACGTCTCCAGATTTAGATACGCTAGATGCTTAGTGTTATTTGTTTTGTGTGCCACCGTTTGGCGGTTTTGTTATTATGTAAACATTTTAATAGGTTGAAATGAATCTTGCGATATGAACTGTTGATAAGTTGAATGTTTTCAGATATGTTTTATTTGAATTAAAATTACTGTTAATATTATTCTCATCTCGTGAAATAAAGACGTTATGATAGTTTGATAATACTGTCTACACATTTAAGAACAGGAGGATGTAGGATGTAGATGCTGACAGCACTCAAAATTTTCTTTTCAAAAGTTGGCCTATGTGTAGTTTTATCCCGAGCATATTCCGAAATCATTAATCTCTTTCGCAAAATCTTGTTCACTAATGCTAAACTCATGTTTCTACAAGCTAAAACCCGTGTACCTTAATTGCGGTATATCGTGACAAATGAAGTTTCTCTCGTGACTGTTTTAAAACAACCAAAGTATTAATCAGGTCACATTTTTATATGAACGCTTATAAATGATGAAAAAAAATATATGTGTATGTTGGCAATGTATGTATAGTGTAATTACCAACTCGTGGCGGTCAGTGGGACACTAGAAGCTTTGTTGTTTTGGCTAGCGGTAGCCCATTGTGCGATACCCCTATTTCCGACCAATAGAAAATGCAAAACGTTTGTTAATATCTAAAACTAATTTGTTATTATAAACATTTCCCATAAAAAGGTATTGCTAGTCTACTATGTTTTTGTATGTTTAGTATTATTACTCTGTAGTCAATTATATATGGCTGCATTTATTATTTTCCTGTAATTATAAATTACTGGGTCTTACTGTTAACATTGTTAAAATAACCAAAACTTCAAAATTGACGCAGATTTAAGTTTTAAGACTACTGTAAAGAACCTCACTTCGTGTTATATTTGAAGGCTTTTTCTAGGCTAGAAATATTGCTGCCATTTTTAATCACCTTCTACAATCATTTAAATTTGCATTCTCCTTGCTGTCTATGCTTTATTAAGTTTTTATAAGGTAAATGGTGTTAGAGGTGCAGTTTAGAATAAAACATGCCATAGTACTTTTAAATCGCCCAGCCTTGAGTTCGCTCTGACAAGTCTATAATCTACTATTATAAATTCTCACCGGTACGGTAGTATTCCTAATATAGAGAATAAATTACAATCTCACGGGATACAGAACGAGCATTCGTCCACATTATTCTTTATTTGCTTGAACGCTATTTTTAGATTTTATTGTCGTGACTCCGTACATTTCACTGATAACGCTTATTTTTAAGTTCATTTACAGTATTTTGCTTGCACGGCTTGACAGGTGATAACTTACGATAATAAAGATTGGATTAGCATGTTTTTGCAATGTTTGATGCGATGGTCAGGTGGAATATATTAATTTTTTTGAGCAGATATACAGTTAGCCACTAAAGTTCTCGTCTATTTTGGAAGCTATACTTTAACAACAAAACTAAAACAGTTGATGAAACATATTGATTGACGTTGTGAGAGTGATTCAAACTAGTGATTATCTTTTATGGAGTAGACTAGAAAATATGTTCTATTTGTGAAAGTTTTTTAGAAATACACCAGATCAAGTCTTACACTAGCCACAGCTTACAAAAACTGACAATATTGTTATAGCATATATTTCAAATCTCTGGTGAAGAAGACTATGCCTATCGACCTTTACCTCTATCTATCTCTATCGCAATTCGATGTACATGGTGTTTGAAAAGAAACCAAATAACTGATTATGTTAGAAATAGACAGTTGCTCACAGTCTTATTATGAAAAAACTTATGAAAGACTCTTAGGCCAATCTGTACGATTGAAAAAGTGAGGAAGCAAATACAATTATCGAAAGGTCTGATGAATCCTTATTGGGTTAAAACAGTGTATTGCCGAAACCGAAACATATTGAGACTTTTCGTGAAGATTATCAAATAAGTACCAAAATAGCTCATCATTTGTTCTGTCGTACAGAAAGGCCTGTTATCTTATTGTGGGCAGAGGGTAAAAATAAGGTTGTGTCACTTACTCCGATTGCTTAGCTTACATGACTTTATTAGTACTCCGTATGGTATGTGTCGAAATGTTTTTTCAGTTGAAATCTTCATTCTTTAAGTTACAACGATCTAATTATTTCACTCGAAGAATTAAGGATGTGTACTTACATCAAGTAACTAAAGTATTATAATTTTTTATTTCTTGTATTTCATTAAAAGAGTTGAGGTTCTTGCACCATGAAAGACAGATTAATTTTTACTATGAAAATATTGCTCTTGATTCAAGGAAATGATAATATTGATACTTTGAATCAACGATTTTCATGTGGTGATTGATTTGGTGACATATCCAGTGCTTTTGACAGTAGTGGGAGCTGTATAGAAAGAATAAGAGCATGGTAATAGTGGATGGGATGCGAAGCCTGGCAACTGGGCCACCTTGGACTCTTTGTGCTGACCCCATTATACCAACACTGTACTGTCGACTGGTAACTGATTGCTGAATGTACTAGTTCTAGCGATGTGATGTACCTACTTGATCTTGCACCGATCTGGTGCGTACATATTTAGACTAGCACAACATTCATGGCTCGAAGTGTAACTTCCGAAACCAGGAATGCAACTTGCGAGCGTTTGAGCCGATGTGCTAGCTGTGGATACCGTAGTCCACCTGGCGACCTGACTACCCAACCCCCAAGAATAAGGGTCTAAGCATCCGCCTCTTTAAAGCTTGTTCTTTGTACAATATGAATGCAATTAATCAAAATTTCGTTTTGAACTTCGGTCGAGTGACTCCGCCGTACTGTCCATCGATACGGTACTACCTGATCAACCAGGTGTGTGACTTCACAGCCTAGCTACACAACCTTGTTTTTACGTTCCTTGATATGGGTTATGAAGGTGTGCGTGTCAAAAGCTTGTTTCTTTGGGGTTGCTTATCAATAATTGGTACTATTTAGCAATGGAACCGAGACGGCGGGCGGCGGGTTGGTGGTGGCTATGCGGCCGCCCTTCAAACGCATCCACTCCCTCCGGCGACGAGCCGCCCCTGCCACAACAGCAACCGCAACAGCCACAGGGCTGTCATGCCACGTGCCACGCGGCGGCGGACACCACCGGCCGACTTCTATGCTCCTGGAGGCGACACAGCCGTCTGCGCAGGTACTACTACACGCCACAACGCACGACTTGTCATCAGCGTCGTCATTGGATGTTGTTTCTCATGTTTTTGTGTTGCTTTTGCATGTTCTTATATCCCTTTGCACATTTACTAGCTTGCGCCAAAATTACTACTGATTACTGCAAGTCCTACTTGCATCATCGTTGGTTTCTTTATCGGCATCACCGATTTGTAATTTATGAAGTCATCAGGTGTTTTTGTTTTATGTTTTTGTAAGTCATATAACTAAAGTCGACATGTTTGAACAAGTACTATCTTGCTCCTAAAGTACTGTTCACATCAGTATGTGTGTGTCGCTTTGTTATGACCATCGTCGATTGTTTGTTATGCTGTTTGTTTTGTTTTACCATGTTCTACTCAAAGAAACCACCTCTCGCCACTTGCATCGTCGTCATCATCATATGCTTGTCTTGGTGATTGTTTTGTGTTGCTGTATGAAATGTTATACACATGATACTTTTAAACACACTTATTCTTGCACGTGTACTAAATCGTAACAAATAATACTTGCTACGTTATTATTTTAACATCTGAAACTGATTCTGTGGTTTACAATTCGATAATCCCCCATGCTTGTGTGGCCAATAGTAAAGAAGGTCTGTCAATACATGTGGTTTTATTGACCAGACTAGCATGGGGGATTAACGTTATTATTTTGTTTTTGCATGTTATCGTAATGTACTTTAAGGCATATAGTACTTGACTATATCAAGTTTTTTGAGTACTACTCTCTACTTTCATGATTTCGTGATCGATATAATCGGTTATGTTTGGATCTTGTTTCTACATGATATTATAGTTAACAATACATGTGAAAAGTATACTGAACTACCTATTAAAAAATCCAACTACTGAATTGTAGGGAATTATGACAGTGTAGACGTTACTTCTCTTTGAATTCACTTCCGAAATAAAATTGGTGGTCAAAAAATCAAGTGTAATTTTCAATGCTTCCTTGTTTCCCGATCATGGAAACAATGGAAAGGAAGAATGTGTTTAACCGTAATTAAAAGTCCATGCCGTTTCTGGGTTAATGACCATAGCCGAAAGATGCATTCTGCAAGTATTAATATTGATTACTGGTAATTTACCTGAAGTTAGCCAACCTAATACTATAAATGCGCGTCCAAAAAATTATTATTCGAAATCAATATATTATATACCTACTTTGAAAAGATTAGTGTCGCATAGACGGCGCTGTAGTCAACTATATATAGCTTCAGCGCCGTCTACGAGACATTAACATTTTCAAATAGACTTCTAATTATTGCGGAGAAAATAAACATAGCTGTGACAGATTCTCATAGATCACGCTAGGGTATCTCATTTCATCTCGAATATTTTTTCGGGCGCGCGAATATCGTATTAGGTTGGCTAACTTCAGGTAAATTACCAGTAATCAATATTAATTCTTGCAGAATGCATCTTTCGGCTATCTTCAGGTAGAATTTAATCAATGATGTTACCTAGTGGTTACTTCTTTCTTCAATTAAGTCATGGGTCATTGGTAGATGTTATTTTTTACATTTGCATGTTTTTTTGCACATGCACTATTTTACGTTATTCAAGATAGATTTTCGGTTTATTTTTTCATGAAACGTTCTTATTATTTTGTATGGTATTATCAGCTTACAAACTTTGCTTTTTTCCTATTTGTTATTCAACTGCAATTAATCTAAGACAGGTATCGTTATCTATAACATAGTGATAACGTATATTCCAAAAAACCTTCCTTGAGATGAATGAATGTTTTATTAAAAAAAAAATCAAACCAATATATTTTTGTGAATAAACATATATCTAAAGGGATAATGTTGATAAAAGCGTGCCAAAATTAATACAGCCATTACATAAAAACATATTCCACAACCAATAACTTAAATCACTAGCACAGTTAATAATGTGGTTTAAAAATACATTAATTCCGTGTTGAATCTTGATTAATTCAGTATTTGTCGTAGTAGTAACGAGTATTCATTAGGGTTGAACGTATACCAAGGTAAATAGGAGATATAATGTTGGCAACAATGAATTGGACACGAATCTGGTAAAACTCACATTCAGAACTGTTTATACCAAACATGAACAAAAACTATTTATTTTGTTTTATTGGTATCTGACTTTAAACAAGTGCTAATGACGTTATACCATATTCCCTGAGCCACTTGAAAGCACCTTGCGTTTTGAAGAACGAGAATTCTGGAGAATTTTTCCCTAACACTTCCCATTACGTCTCACTTTCTAATTTATCAAAGAACTAGTCGAGAAGCAACGTGTGTTCAGGCTCTAAAACATCCAGATTTATTTTGTGGTATTTCAAAAGATTTTCAAGGTTAAAACTGAGATGCATTTTGATCCTACTCCAATTTTTTCCTGTCAACTGTCCGAGAAGTTGTAGACACATTAATTTTGTGGCGCTTACTGTCTTCTGAAATACTTTTGGTGATATAAACAGATCAAAGTACTTGTGAGATGCTTCGCATTCATCGCTAATGATATGCACGCTTCGAAGTGACAGTAGGTTTTTAAACGACATGTTTAATTTGTCTTAAAAGATGGATTAAATTTGAAAATTCATTCTGAACAATCTGGTTATATTCACTAAAAAAAGTATGGATTTGTTAGTTTCACTGAAGAAGGATACGAGATACAGACATTCTCTTCATTATAATTCTGCATGGAGAGAGTTTTAAGTGGAACTAATTTTATTAAGAGATTAATTTTGTATCCTTATATCTGAGAGTCCGACACGCAAAAAAATATTACTTTTAGCCAGGTTTCGAATCTCTGACTGATGAAAACATGATTTATTTATTTATACAACTTGTTGAAATGTGTCGTAAAACCACAGTACGAATATTACACAGGTCATATTTCACTATCCATTTTTCCATGTGCTATTATTCTTCTCGAGCATATAACCACTGTCTTTCCAAGAGGTTAAAGGGTCATAAACTCGAGTGTCAACTATAAACAAATGTGAAAGTAGCAACGTCGAAGCCCGGTACAAAGGCAGTATTTCCGACAAAGAGCAGATGTTCTTTTTAAAATTCTGAACAGCTCTTGGGAACGCGTCTTTTCGTCTTCCTTCAGAGAGCTCCTGTTTTAGCACGTCTATACGGTAAAGTCTTTGTGAGGAAATATAAACATGCTAATTATGGACATTCTTTAGGTAGATTATGGGTACAGAAATTATAAAAAGTGCATGAGCATGATATATTTAGCAACACTGCTTTTGGAAAACATATTTATCTACGGCGAGCAGTGAAGTGTACTATTTGAAGCTTTTGCGAGCGATAGGTCCTACCATTGATTAATGTATTCTACCTGACGATAGCCAACCTAATACTGTATTGGCACATTCGAAAAATTTTCCGAGATGAAATGAGATAACGTTGCGCCATCTATGAGTATTTGTCACGGCTATCTTTCTCCTCTCCGCAATAATTAGAAATCTCCTTTGAAAAAATTATTGTCTCATAGATGGCACTGCACGAGCGTTCGTTCAAAATCCAAATCTGGACTGACCTTAAGAGTCGACTACGAATTTGAGCCTCAGCGTCTCGTAGATCGCGCTGTATCTATATGCTCATATATAGTTGGCTACATCGCCACCTTTGTGACATTATCCTTTTTGTCATAGACTCGTAATAATTGCAAAGAGATGACACTGTTTCAAATCCTCATAGATGACTTTATGGTGTCTCATTTCATATCTCTAGTATTAGGTTGGCTATGCCCAGGTACAATACGTTAATCAATGGCACTTCTTTCCTCCTCACTTCTTTGCACCCAGGGGTGGAAAAGTAATATTAGCGCCTGATATCTTCAGGTTGGCCTTATCCCTATAGAGCACTGGTCATATCTATTTGTTGCTAACAACAGCTCCCGGTAATAGTATGGTTAATTTATTTAATTTTGGTTCCACTTTATTTGATTTTATGTCCACGTTACGGTTCTACATTTTTCTATAAAGCATATCTTACAGTAATCATTTTACATTGAAATCATCTCAATGTCTATATTTGTAGAACACCCTGTATATGTAAATGTATGCTTGTGCTTCTGCAGAGTGCTTGTATTGTGATTAACCTTACTAATGACATATCTTTTTTTATGCAAGCAATGGAAATCTATATACGGTGAGCTATTAATATGTTTAGGTATATTTTTTGAAAATGTTCTCATCAGCAGAATTTGTTCAATGTTTTTATTAATGTTTCTATATTCTATAATATTACTTTTATGCACTAATCACTTGATGCTTTTAGTGAAAAATTTTAAGAAAAATTAAGTGACAAAAATGGCGGGTGGGAGGTTGGAGGCGATTGGGGAGGTGTAACGCAATTTTTTGATGTAGAATATTAATTACACTTTCGCTCCGGTAATTCTACGCACCTATTAGACAAATTGCACACATAAATTTGGATTCAAAGAGCTCATCGTGATGTACAATAATAATTGTAGGTACAAACTGTGCAATGTTACAGCTTGTTATATACTAAATATAAATTTATGAATGTTGAAACAACCTGGTTTACTAATTCTCTCATAATTCCATTGAAAAAACGTATTCATTCAAAAAATATATATATACCATCCAAATTACAAGATATCTGTTGACTCCGATTTTCATATCTTATCAGTTTTATCTAGTTTTCCTTGAAAAGCAAAGCCCCGCGCAGGTGCCTCACTGTAGCAGGTCTCTCAAACAAAATCCGCTGGTTGAGAAAAAAATATTTGAAGAAAACACCGAAATGTCACGACAATAAGGTAGTTGTGGGTGGAGATAACATATAACACCGCCATTTTGTTAGTAATACGCGATTTTATCAGTCTGGTCTCAGTTGACTTTGCGGCTTATCATAAATGCGTTGCGCTTTTTTCTCACAGCCGGTCAGTGCAAGTCGTGACACTGTCACAGCTTTTGTTTTCGCAAGACGATCGCGTGTGTTATGACGAGGTGATGGTTGTTTTTTGTTGCGATGATGTACAGAGTGTTGCAGTTTATCAAGGAGGAATACAAGTTGAGAATAGTAGGTTGAACATGTATCTGTGTTTATTGTTGTATCGTTTGTGTTCTGAAGTAGCGTTTGTTATTCGTAAGTTAGAGACTGCTACGCATGCAAAACATCTGATAAATGATACATTTTGTAATTTTGTGAACAAATAAATAATGAAAAATAAATTGATTGCTAGCATGTACATGAAAGATCCAGGTTATTGGAATAATCATGAATAAATATTGCCTCAAATAAACACTCTAAACGTTAAGTTCCAATGCTTTTTTTTAGCCGCAGAAAATTATTCACCATTTTTGAAACATTGTTCCAAGCTTTAATTCTTAAAGCTTTTAATTGACAAATCATTTTAACACTTAGCAAAAAGCCGCCAATGACGTAATAAATATTAACGATAATGGTTTGCTTATTTGGGGTGCTTCGAAGGAAGCTGCCTTGTTTATATTGTGTCAAGTGGCTAGGCTCTGCCAGAAGTGGCCACATTATATCAGAAAGTGGGATAGAACTCTCTAGATTTACCAACCTGCGTGAGTTTTGATTTAGTGTGATTCCGAAATTGCGTTTGTTGTGTCGAAAAGTATCCGAAGAAAATTAATGTGTATTTTCGGAGTGCCCTAGTGACCTCAGTCGTTTGAAAAGTAGTTACTAAAGGTTGTATCACCAGTCATTCCTACAGTTGTAGGATACCTTTAAGGCCTCCTTGATTTCAATAGTATTTTCTCTCCTTCAGAAATGTTGGGGTATTTCTAGATATCTGCTTTTCCGTGTCAGCGTCAGCGCGCTCCTATTGTGAGGTTATGTTTTCCTTTTGTATCTTAAGAAATTTCAGACTGATAAAGCAGAATGTTTTATGAGACTGAAATTTCTCAGATTTCAAAAAGAAAATATAACCTCAAAATAGAGCGCTGACATGAAACAATAGAAATCTAAAAATACTACTTTCTAAAGGACAACGGCGTCCTACAATTGCAGGAACGACTGATGATACGGCCCTGAGTACACCTTTCTGTGAAGAGAGGCTATGAGAGTAAAAAAGTTTTGTTTTATGAAGTTACATGCGATCATATACGAGAGTTGGCCAAAGTATTTTAGAATTATATTGGCTGTTGCAAGATCTTATTCATCCTATGAAAGAACCGAAGCTTTAGGAGTGACTCAAAATCACTGCGACGGTGTTCCCAGAGTTGCGACAAAATTGACAGTTTCGGCACCAACGTGTGAACACGTGTAGTGAAACGTTTGGCCAACGGATTTTGCGGCTGGACCTGCGTAAAACTGTTTTGCGAGACTTGCTAGGAATTATCTTATCGGAAAAAATGACACTATATTAGCCAATCAGTGAAGGGATAGAGTGACCAATCGAGTTGAGGTGATGCTGTGCATATTTTGTTAACTGACATATTTCCCGCGCTTATAGTTTTCATTATTTAATAATGTTCGTGTTTTCCTATTTTATTTTCTATAAAAATGTTTTTTTTTGGTTGTATTGATTCTCATAATTATTTCCTCGGTTCAATTTATTTTATTAATTAATTCATTGATATTATACTCGCGTATTTCAAATTTTGAATTTACTGCTTAGAGGCTTCTCATTTAGATGCTGATCAGCTGGATGTCTCCCACGATTTGGCATATGAAACAGAAGCTTGAGATGTTTCGAGCCTGTCACTTCAATAAAAAACACGAGAAGTGACATGGGCTTTGAAAAAATTCGTATACCGTGTGCGGAATACAAAACAAAAAACAATCGGCCAGACGCTCAACTAATCGTTTCACATTTTAAATGAACTATGGCTCATCAGAACAGGATAATAATGTGTGATTTAAAGTACAGTACTTATTACACAAATGGCACAGCGATGACGATTGTACCATTGTAATACAAATCATGCTCATAGTAATAGTCAAGACCAATTTTCTAATAGTAATAGATCTATATATTACAATTGTAATTGATGGGAACAACACTGGTTGTTTTAATTGGGTATTTTCAGGAATCGATTTACGTTTTCCATCTGAAGATACCCTAAAAAATAGACATTAGAAAGGCCAAAAAGGTATTAAAGATTCCAGCCATTTTTGAGACAGTAGCAGATCCAAACCCTATGAATCTTTTCAAAGTAGATTTCCGAATTATTATTTTTTGTTTTGCTATTGTATTATAGATGGCTCTAGTATCTTCTAGATCCTTTTTTGGACGCCGAAATACAGTATATGATTTCCTATCTTCAGATAGTATACGATTTTAGTAAATGCAAGTATTTGGTAATTTATTCGCTCTAGATCGAGGAAATATGCAAGTAAATGCAACGTTGTCTACTTTTGTATGTCACTCACCCAGTGCCAGTGTCAAGAAATACTACTGGACTTGACCTTAGCACATCAAAAATTATATAAAGAAAAACAGTCACTTCGCTTCTTAAATACGGGGATATCAAATATCGTAACTCTATACACATATTACACTCGTATTAATTGCTATATATGCACATAAAATAATCCAATAAACATTGTGCAATGCAATGAACGATTGCCTTTTAGGACTACGAAACAGCGCTTTTTACTCAACATCTTTTTATCCGCTACATGTTGAACAACATAGTCGTGAGTCCACGCCTTAGAAACTAATTATCTGTTTAAAAGTTCATAACTTTGCTCACATGCATGGTTGTGTTCTGGTTCTGACAATGAGATATAATGAGTAATACGTCATTGATTTAAGCTTTACTTAATGATAAACATGAGAAATGTTGATGTCGTTTATATTGTTGCAGCTTCACTTGATGTTTGTTCAAAACTAAATCCCATAGAAATCCAGTGTAAAGTGGAGGTAAATATTAAGTCATGCACTATCCGCATGATACTCAATGTTAAAGCATTTGACTGTGTTGCATCATTCTACCTGAAGATAGCTAACCTGATACAACATTCCTGCATCCAAAAAATTAAATGAGATGAAATGCGATACCGTAGCGTCATCTGTGCGAATTTTTCATAGCGCAGTAATTACAAATCTTCTTTGATTAGGTTAATGTCTGTAACTAACTGTAATAGCATATAGCATTTATTTGGGTACATTTGGGCAGACCTTTTTGAAAAGCACTGTCTATGACGTTTCGTTTGGCCAGATAATCATGGAGTTCTAAAAAAATGTTCCATGTAATATTTCACATGAAGCCGTTTAATTACTTTAAATGAGCAATATAGGAAAGAATGAAGAGAATGTCGGCCTCCACACTCATACGGAGACCGTTCTTCCTTCAACATCGCTTAGCAGCACATGTACATAGAATAATTATGATTCCCATCAACCTAGAGACTAATTACCGACCGAGTTGGTGATGCTGGTTTATCTCAATTAAACGGGCTGGAAAACAATTGTTGGAATTGTCCATTCATGTTGAAAGGGGACCGGGGGCCCGTTATTTTTACATCACGGCTGCCGCGTGTACTGCTGCACACAGAGTACAGCATTGTTTGAGCAGTGGCACTCTTATCGTTGCCCTATTATGACCTACATAAGGAACTATGAAAACTTCGGTGAGAACGAGAACAATGTCCTCAAGTAGGGCGTTAATACATATTATTTTATTTTATTTTATTCATATATTTCTCAACAGATACAAGATCCAATTACATAGAAACACTATACAAGTGTTGAAAAGCAAATTGACACACATACAAAAAATAATACCATGCATTGCTGATACCAAAAAAAAACCCTATGTGTGTATCAGACATCCAACACAAAACACCATCAGTGCAGTAGTAACACATGCAAATTAATATATTTCTGAACGTTAATTCTACTTCTATAATAGATAAAGAATAAGATTAAAGGGTACTGGAAAGCTGAAAATAGCTTACGTCACTGAACGGTTTTATATATATATATATATGTTCGCTCATATCAAAGTCAAAGAGATAACTAACCTCGTTAAAGCATTTCAACATTCTATATGAAGGGGATGCTAGTATAATATTTGTTGAAGCTTTTGGAAGATAAAACATGGTGTAGTTCCTACTATTCAACCTAGGCCCAGTAAAGTTTAAGTTTAACAAAATTTCACCACAGTCAACCTGACTTCTTAGCAACCTATGCACAAAGCAGCAGCTTAACAAAAA